TGTAACATATTTCTGTGATGGCAAAGCTAATTTTTCAGCAGCCAGTCTTCAGTGTCCAATGATCCTTCTGAAATAATTCTAATATGCTGATTTGGTGCTCAAGAAGCATTTCTTATTATTATTACATTTGAAAACAGTTGCTTAATATTATTGTTGATACTGTGATACATAAGATGAATAGAAAGTTCAATCTTTTGTAATATAATAAATGTCCCTTTTTGATCAATTGAATGCATTCTTGGTAATAAAAAAGTATATATATATATATATATATATACAAATGAAAAAGTTTATACATTAATGTACACTGTTTAAAAGTTTTGTGTAAATTTGGTGTAATTATACATGACTATATAATTAATAGATTAAAAATTCAGTGATTCATGTTAAAATGTGCTGTAAGATGTGTGGTTAAAAGCACATCTGTTGTGAGGTACAGCAATGTTATACCTTGGCTGCAAGCCTTTGCTGTTTATCTTCCTCTCTTAGCTGTTCTTCTTTTTCTTTTTGCTCAGGGGTGAGGTATTTCTCAACCTTGATCTAGAAACATTGTTCAAAATAATAAATCAGTGTTTGCCATAATTACATCAATTAAATGATATAAAAACTATGTCAGTTTGAAAGATTACAAATAGGTCTATGTTCAGACTTGTTAGACCAATAAAGGTGAGATAAATCCTGGATTAACCTTAGATTTAAAAAAAAAATCTTATATAGAGTCTGGCTGTGTTACCTCGGAGTCGGTCACAGTAAGAGCTCGCTCAGGACACTCATTATCCGTGAGACTAGGCTCCCACAGGGTCTCACTGAGGTCCAGCTCGCTCATAATCTCAGAAATACGCTTGTTCTTCTCTCTAAAACGGTAGATTTCCTGTTCCTTCTGCTTGTAAACTGCCTCAAATTCTTTGTTGAATGTGCTCTTCACTTTGTAGATAACATCCTTCATTAAACAACCATGAAATATATCAAATGAACAGTGGTAGACCATACTGTATGACCCCATTTTCACTGTTTAAACCTTTTCTGTACTCAAAAGGGGATGCCAACACCCAAATGAAACATAAAACATCAAGTTCATGTATCAAAGTATAAACGAGAAGTCATCACCTTTAGCAAGGTGATTTGGTTGATTTTCTGCTCTCTGATGTGTAAGTTAAACTGGCTGTAGAGATGAGGATTGACACCTCCGTACAGAGCACTCAGACTGCCAGTCAGAGCAGGACTCTCGGTCTTACTGTCCTCTGCCTCTTCTTCCTCTTTGTCTCCAGAGATTGTGTTTAAAATCATCTCTTGAAGCTATGAAGAATATTCATATGATTTGTGTCAAATAAGAGAAACAACACTGTATCAAGGTGCGCTACTATATGTTCAGAATCTTTTCTAAGGCTTTGGTTGCTATGGAGGAATCTGTTCCAACAGCTGACTCATTATTGTTTTGGTAACACACTGTACACATACTTGTGAATTTTCCTGTTCAATCTGCCTCATGGTCTCAATCCTTTGAAGCTCTTCAAGTTCTTTTTCAGTGCGTTCCTTCATTGGGTAGTTCTTCACCTCATTTTCTGAATGAAAGGCCTGAGGGCAACAAAACGTACACAAAAACACTGACACTTGGCAGCTGTATAGCATTTCTAGTTCCGGGTAAGCCAGGTGAAATCGATGGATGTGGATATTATTACATTTTTTTCCCCTTCATAAAATCGACTTTCTTTTTAGACTAGAGACCTTAATGGCTTTGCCTTTGACTTGCATGGAATCCCAGCATTCCTTCTTCAGGATCTCCCTCTGATAGCACTTAGCCAGATTCTCCATCTCGATCTCTTTCCTCACCTTAAGCAACATAAATAAACATCTGAATAAAGTAGGAAAAAACCCTATATACAGGTGCATCTCAATAAATTAGAATGTCGTGGAAAATTTCATTTATTTCAGTAATTCAACTCAAATTGTGAAACTCGTGTATTAAATAAATTCAATGCACACAGACTGAAGTAGTTTAAGTCTTTGGTTCTTTTAATTGTGATGATTTTGGCTCAGATTTAACAAAAACCCACCAATTCACTATCTCAACGAATTAGAATACTTCATAAGACCAATAAAAAAAACATTTTTAGTGAATTGTTGGCCTTCTGGAAAGTATGTTCATTTACTGTACATGTACTCTGCGTGTATGGCTGCGGTTCTCTCGGTTGGTTGTGCATCCTTTTCTTCCACACTTTTTCCTTCCACTCAACTTTCTGTTAACATGCTTGGATACAGCACTCTGTGAACAGCCAGCTTCTTTGGCAATGAATGTTTGTGGCTTACCCTCCTTGTGAAGGGTGTCAATGATTGTCTTCTGGACAACTGTCAGATCAGCAGTCTTCCCCATGATTGTGTAGCCTACACTCTTAAAAATAAAGGTGCTTAAAATGTTCTTCAGAGCGATGCCATAGAAAAACCATTTTTGGTTCCACAAAGAACCATTCAGTCAAAGGTTCTTTAAAGAACCATCTCTTTCTTACCTTTTTATAATCTGCAAATGAAATACAAAACTTGCTCTCATTTGAAAAGAGGACTTTGGACCACTGGGCAACAGTCTAGTTCTTCTTCTCCTTAGCCCAGGTACGACGCCTCTGATGTTGTCTGTGGTTCAGGAGTTGCTTAACAAGAGGAATACGACAACTGTAGCCAAGTTCCTTGACACGTCTGTGTGTGGTGGCTTTTGATGCCTTGACCCCAGCCTCAGTCCATTCCTTGTGAAGTTCGCTCAAATTCTTGAATCGATTTTGCTTGACAATCCTCATAAGTCTGCGGTTCTCTCGGTTGGTTGTGCGTCTTTTTCTTCCACACTTTTTCCTTCCTCTCAACTTTCTGTTAACATGCTTGGATAGAGCACTCTGTGAACAGCCAGCTTCTTTGGCAATGAATGTTTGTGGCTTACCCTCCTTGTGAAGGGTGTCAATGATTGTCTTCTGGACAACTGTCAGATCAGCAGTCTTCCCCATGATTGTGTAGCCTAGTGAACCAAACTGAGAGACCATTTTGAAGGCTCAGGAAACCTTTGCAGGTGTTTTGAGGTGATTAGCTGATTGGCATGTCACCATATTCTAATTTCTTGAGATAGTGAATTGGTGGGTTTTTGTTAAATGTGAGCCAAAATCATCACAGTTAAAAGAACCAAAGACTTAAACTACTTCAGTCTGTGTGCACTGAATTTATTTAATACACGAGTTTCACAATTTGAGTTGAATTACTGAAATAAATGAACTTTTCCACGACATTGTAATTTATTGAGATGCACCTGTAAACTGAAGAGCTTGTTTTTACAGAAGATGTGTAATTAATCTGCTCTTCATCATCTGTAAATAGCCATGTTTACCCTGGTAACTTCCTGTTTTCCCTCGAGCTGCATCCTCTGTTGCTCTTCCACATCCAGGTTAAATTCCTGGTGCCCAAGTTTCTCCATGTCTGGCAGGCTCTCATTCTCTTGCATCATTGCTTTGATCTGGAATGATCCAGAGACAATAAAGATGAACCTTTCAACTTCAAATGTGTGTATGTATGGAAACAATAATATGAAAGAGAGGACGATCCTTTCTCTTACTGTGTCACGAAGAACTTTGATGTTTTTTCTTAGGTTCTTTTTGGTCTCTGCATACTGCTGGGTCTCTTCTTGAAGAACCTGTTTGGAAACCACTGGAGTCATGATCTTATTATTAATGTATTATCTTTCAATTATTCTATTTCTCACTCAGATAAGATGCTTGATGTTTGTGGAAACCAATATCATAACAATCTTTCAAAAGTTTGGGATTGGTAAGATTTTTTTTTAAATCTTTTTGAAATAAGTCTCCTTCCAAGACTGTATTTATTTGATCAAAAAATACAGTAAACCAGAAATATTGTGAAATATTTTTACAATTAAAAATAATTGTTGTCTATTTCAATATATTTAAAACAAATGTAACGTATTTCTGTAATGGCAAACAAAATTTTCAGCAGCCATTACTCCAGTCTTCAGTGTCACATGATCCTTCTGAAATCATTCTAATATACTAATTTGGTGCTCAAGAAACATTTATTATTATTATTAATGTTGAAAACAGCTGTGCTGCTTAATATTATTTTTGAAACCATGATACATATGATGAATTGAAAGTTCAATATTTTGTAATATTATAATTGTCCCTTTTTGATCAATTTAATGCATTCTTCATGATAAAAAAGCATTTATTTTAATTCATTTCTTTAAAATAATTGACACCAAACTTTTGAACGAAAGTGTATAAATTGATAAAAGCAAGCATTAATTTATTTAATTGTAATTTATTCCTGTGATGGCAATTCTAAAATGCTGATTTGGTACTCAAGGAACATTTGTTACAAAACATCTTTTGTAATGTCTTTACGGTCACATTTGATCAATTAATGCACCCTTGCTGAATAAAGTACTCATTTCTAAAATCATACTGACCTCAGACATTTGCTTACACAGTCAATTGATTATGATAATACAAATATAATATAAATCTTACTTTTTTAATCCAATGTTGCATAAGGTTGTAACACCTTTCCCTGTACCACATCAGTGTTAATTATTTTACGTAAATATATTTTGTAATCTTAGGAACTTTTTTCTCCTGGAGGCCTGTGATTACCCTTTTTAAACTCATAAAATAAGAAAACAAAATGTGTTGTAACCTGAAAAGAATTAGCTGCCGGCAAACAAATAATGCTATATTATATAATTGAGAACAATAACAAGGCAATATTATATTGTTAATTAAACAGTAACACATAAATAAATTCAGACACTAACCGCATCTAGTTTTCCATCAAGCCATGTAGAACTAGCTGGGGACACAAAATAGTTTTCCTCTTGTTCAGCTTCATGACTCATCTTTCCCTGCAGGAAGAATTTTATGGCAGTTTATATTCTGTGTCCCAAGGCACAGAACATCTCCCCAGTAAAACTGCTTAACCAGGTACAATATTGTGCATAAATATTATTTAAACATTAGAAAACACTGTTTCTGTACTTCTCTTGTTAGAAATGACGAGCATCTGGTCAGGGATTGTGTCTGTGGATCCCAGTCAGTCATTTTGGAGAGGATGGTGTTCTCTGAGGATACAACTGACTCAAAGGAATCAGCAACTGACTGAGCATACTGGGTAGCTGCATTTGTTTTGCCGGCCCCAGAAAGCTTTAACCTGTTAAATTTGAATGCATTGTAAAAACAAAAATGCTTCAGGTCCAGCTTCAAGGGCATTTTGAAACTACCAGAGAGAGAAAATTTTGCTATAGGTCAAAGCTCTATAGTAGTATTTGTTTGTTTAATATTTTTTGAGAGCCCTGAGCTCACCTGAGCCTGCTGCAGACAAGTGAGCCATCCCTCAGGCCCGAGGTGATGAGGGTCTGACTGTCTGGGGTGAAACAAACAGATCCGACTCCACCCTGCCAACATGAGTGGCACTGCAGCTGCACATACCTGTCCTGCATGTCAAAAGTATGCACATTTACATACTCATCAGATATTTCCGAAACATGTTTCTCCTAGCCCAGTACTCATAAACATGGATGAACTTGTAGAGATTGGTTTTAACAACAATACCATTGTTGAGATCTCACAAATGCGCAGCAGTCCATCCCTGCCAACTGTTGCCAGCCAGCTTTGATGTGGGGAGAGCTGTAGAAAAGCAGGACTCTGTAAATGGCCCCCTGCCTCCTTCTCTAAGATCAGGTGAACTGCTTCCTGTGCATTAGATGGCTTTACTCCACTCTGCATATCACAGGAGAAGCAGTTAGGAGTAGTGCCAAAAACACAAAATAAAACTGTCATCAGACTATAGGTGTTGTCTCTTCTTATACCACCTCAGGGATTCTGAAACTTTGCAAGACTTTTCTCTGTTGGCAGTAACCAAATATCTTGTTTATGGCCAGGACACAAGAGCAGAGAGCGTGAGGGATCTCATATAGGCAGCTGTGCAGGGCATCTTTAAACAGACAGCCATAGACATCCACACAACCTGACGAGTCTGTAAGTGGCACAACATTATGAGAAGGAGTGCTGGAATTTTTGAATGTCTATCATTTGTCCTCCTATGTTTTAGAGAAGCTCTCTGCATGCCAGCCTCAATTATGTTGTGTTTTTGTGTTTTCCTGATACCTGTAATCTGTTGCACAAACAAAGTCAGTAGCAGAAGTACATTTCCCTCATTGATTTCTCTCTCTGTCTTGCTGCATAACACCAGCACTTTAACCTGTTTACTTTCCGTGTGGTACTGAGTGGATAGGTTTACAATGGCACCTGGAGCCTCTGGAAGAAAGTAAAAGGACTTTTTTAGAAATTACTTTAAACTTTAGGCATAAAATGTAAATATGACACAGTTCAAAAGTTTGGGGTGGTAAGATTTTTGAATGTTTTTTAAAGAACCCTCTTAATCACCAATTATTTTATCATGTGATCAAAAATATAGTAAAACAGTAACATAGTGAAATATTATTAAAATAAAGAACCTTTTAATTATTATCAGTGCTGCTTTTTTGTGGAATTCATGATGTATTTTTTTTCAGGATTCTTTGATAAATCAATTCAATAGAACAGAATTTATTTGAAATAGAAATTTCTTTAATGTCACTTTTGATCAATTTAAAGTATCCTCGTTGAATAAAAGTAAGCATTTATTTAAAAAAGAAAATAGAGAGAATTGAATAGTAATGTCGTTCTGAGAATTACCAATCCATCCAATAATTTCAAATCCTTTTGATGGCCTTGCGTCCAGCACAAACATGCGTGAGTCTGATGCTCCTGTGATTAAGAAGTTGCCACCTTGATCAAACCTGTTAAACAAATATAACATACAGTATTCTCAACATTCAGTTCACAATGCCCCAATTCACAAGAAATATGATAGCAAATAATCACAGTGCTGTGAAACTCACACCAAATGGTCTACAGGGACATGGTAGAGATGAACTCTGTGAACTAGTCTGGGTTTTTGTTTTGTGGTCATTTCCACAAACAGAACGTCTCCAGTGGCTGTTCCTACAACAACATACTGTGCTATGGGGCAGCATGACACACTGGTTACCTGAAGTAAAGTCATATCAAATAACACAGATTTAAGTAGAGCAAACTTATTCACCTGATTTGGGAAAAATGATTACTGTGAGGTCGTACAGAATCCCTAATTATAGCACTAACATGTATTTGCAGAGAGATGGAGCCCATGCAAAGTCCATCATCCAGGGCCCACAGCTGTACGTCTCCTGCTTCTCTGACTGACTGCAACAATGAAGATACAGATACCTTATTATTTTCAATAATATATATATTGTATTTTAATATTTATATTGTAATACTATACTATTATAATATATTGGCTAATAGTTAGGTTGTTTAATTTAACGACTTGTGTCATTTTATCCTAGCAGCAAAGCTGTATCCTACTGGTGACTTTTATTTTGAAAGTGTGTTTGAGGTGGATTTTGAAAGGGAAATCAGTATCGGATTCACAAAGCGTTTCAGTGGGAACCTTTCAAATCTACAATGTTGGGCACGGCGTCGTGAGTAATAAAGTAATGTCCTGTAAAAGCGAAAGGACAGCATTGTCCATTAACTAAGTGAATGATCGGTAAATCACCTGATTTGCCTCCTGCGGCTACAATTAGCCCCTCGTATATGTCGTTTAACTTGACAGAAGGTCGTTTTGCCACAAGGTTTGCTTGCATTTCAAATAATTAGCTTAGTTAGCCAGCCGCGGGCGTTGGTTAGCTTAAATCTAGTCGTGTGAGTGCTGTGATGGCTTCTGCAGTGTCTAGATCACGTAACGGTTGTTTTAGCGTGTGTAACGTTAACGTTACCGACAGATTACGCTCATTCATATCAGTTCGTGCCATGTACAGTAAGTAGTACGTGCGAGTCAGCACTTCATTTGAGGAAGTAGCTAACGTTAGCCTACATAGCGAGGACAGGGAATGGAGAGGCTGTGTTATAAAAAGCCACTGAGTTCCCTATCTAGACAGCACCATCTGCGCATTCGAACAAAAAGCTGTGCTTGTGCTGCTGCTGTCTTTCTAGGCAGCTCCCTAGGTGTTGAAACAGAGCCAGACTGCAATTCCTGGTCACTGACATGACAGCCTTATGATTAATACTCGTTCCCCTAAAATAGCTAAAGAGGGTCATGCAGCTCTCACATGTACGATGTTGCCACACGAATGTATTTGTATATATTTGTATTGTACATTTGCATTTGGCAACATTACTTCCGTGTGTGGTGGGCTGTGGGTGGGTCTAATGGACTTTTAAAACCTGTTATCTCAGTTTGCTGTGCAGCTCTCCAGAGATTATTTATGTGTGTGTGGGATCAGTTAGGGGAGGTTATGCAGCACAGGCTGATCTGCTTACATGTTTGCAATCAGGGCCCTTGCTTGTGTTCTAAGCTGATCTTTTGTCGCCCAAACTGAGTGTTTTTTTCCCCTAAGGATCAGCTCAGCTTTCCCTTTTGCAAACTTGTCTCTCCGCAGGTGAGTGCAGGCTAAATGATAATGGCACATGTTGGGGCAGTAGTCGCAGCAATGGCTGGTGTGATGGCCATTCTGCTTCATTCTTCCATACACAAGATCGAGGAAGGACATTTAGCTGTGTATTACAGGTGAGTGTACGGAAGTAGCATTGAAAATATGCACAGATTTTATGCTGCTTATGTTAATAATTAATAAAATGCCTGTAATATAGTTGAAGTTTGGTGGAAAAGCTAGATCAGTTAACATTGTATGTTTACAGCTTTTCATTAAAGGCATAGTTGATCCAAAAAAGAAAATTGTTGTTTGCCCAAGCATGTATGACTTCTTTCTTCTGTAGAACATAAAGTAATATTTTAAGAAAAGGAGAAAAAGATTAAAGAGAAACTTTTTTGTCAATCTAATGGACGTCAGTGGTCACCAAAACTATCTGATTATCAACATTCTTTAAAATATTTTCCTTTGTGTTCCATAGAACAATGAAAATCATACAGGTTTGAAATGACATGAGGTTGAGTAAATGATAACAGAATTTTCATTTTTGGGTCAACTGTCTCTAGGTAACTTCACAGCTTCTTTATAGCAATAGTTGTTGTAATATTTCTACACAAATGAAATTGATGTCATATTTATCATTCATATAATTAATTTGCTTCCTAATTCTGGTTCATGTTTTTTTCCACCCATTTTTTCAGAGGAGGAGCTTTGTTGACAACTCCTAATGGGCCGGGTTACCATATAATGCTGCCTTTCATCACTTCATATAGATCAGTGCAGGTACAAATGTCATGTATTTACAGTTGGCCAGATAAAAAATCAATTCTTGTTTTATTACAGCTGTACACATTGCATATAATTTATTATGATCTTTTTCTACAACTTTTGGGACATGAGTGGATTTTTGAGGTTGTTGAATATTTTGCATTTACATTTATGTATTTAGCAGAAGTTTTTATTAGAAAGTTAGAAAGGAAACCAAGCTAGAATATTGTTAAAGATGCTGATTTTTTTTCTCACGTTTGCATTATGTTTCTAGACAACCCTGCAAACAGATGAAATAAAAAATGTGCCTTGTGGAACCAGGTAATCCTTTGTGTTGTTGTTATTCCATCAATATGTCCTGAAAACTGCTTAAAATTGGTCATGATTAAACTGTACTGGATATTTTCTGGGGCTCCTGAATGAAAATAATAATTTCTTTGTCTTCCAAAGTGGGGGTGTCATGATCTATTTTGACAGAATTGAGGTGGTCAACATGCTGGTTCCATTAGCAGGTAAGAGCCTTAAAGGGATAGTTCACCCAAAAATAAAGGTTCTGTCATAATTTACTCACCCTCAAGCCTTCTTCAAACCTGTATGACTGACCGTCTTCAGTGGAAGGAAAAATTAGATGTTAGGCTTTATGACAAAACAAGGTCATGCTCTTGTTCTCTTCCTTCACAGTGGTGGACATAGTGAAGAACTACACCGCAGATTATGACAAGACGCTAATCTTCAACAAAATTCACCATGAGTTAAACCAGTTCTGCAGTGTGCACACACTACAGGAAGTCTACATAGAACTGTTCGGTAAGTCAGTGATATGTCAAACAGTTTATTCAGCCAAGTATACTGTGAACTTTCAGTTGTTTATTTGAGTGCTGCAGTTTCTGCTGTGTCATTAGTTTTGTCTTTGGTGCCTTCTCACTGCAAGAACATTTGTCATGGACTTGCATTTGTGTCGTTTTTGTTTGACAGACATAATTGATGAGAACTTAAAGACTGCACTGCAGAAGGACTTGAATGCTATGGCTCCTGGCCTCACAATTCAGGTATGGCTTTTATCTCTATGGTTTTGACTCTGTGGTTTCAGTTTTGACTTGAGCAGAATTCGATGATTCCATAATATTTTGCAGGCTGTGCGAGTCACCAAACCTAAAATTCCTGAGGCAATCAGAAGAAACTATGAGCTAATGTGAGTGAAAATATATTTCTGTACAATTTGATTGGATGTCATAGTTTATCTCCATATTGTGTTTTTTTTTTATAAATTAAAATGTTAGTTATTTTTTTTTAAAGGCTTGAGCAGTTTTAAGCATTTTTTTACTCTTGTTGATCTTTAAAAATTATATAGTGACATTTAATATACACTACTGTTCAAAAGTTTGGGGTTGGTAAGATTTTAAAATGTTTTTGTCTTCTAAAGTCTTTTACTCTCACCAAAACCACATTTATTTCAAACACACAGTAGAAACAGTAATACTGTGAAATATTATTACAATTGTTTTCTAATTAAATACATTTTAAAATGTAACTTATTCCTGTAATGCAAAGCTGAATTTTTCAGCAGCCATTACGTCAGTCTTCAGTGTCACATGATCCTTCAGAAATCAATCTAATATGCTGATTTGTTGCTCAAGAAAGCTTTTTTTTTTTTTTTTAGATTTGGCTGAAAGTTCAGAAGAACAGAATTGATTTGAAATAACAATCTTTTCTAACATTATAAATTGTCCTTTGATACATCTGTCTATGGTTTTAATCAAAATTTCCCTTGCTTTCATCATCTGCAGGGAAGCGGAGAAGACCAGGCTGCTCATCACCGCTCAGACACAGAAAGTGGTGGAGAAGGAGGCTGAAACTGAGAGAAAGAAGGCCATCATAGGTGAGTCTACATTTCCAACTATAGTGCTGATCATGTATAGAGTCATGGTTTGTCCTTATTCATTTTATGTGTTACTCTCATTGCAGAGGCTCAGAAAATGGCTCAGGTGGCAGAGATTCACTTCCAACAAAAAGTAATGGAGAAGGAAACAGAGAAAAAGATCTCCGAAATTGAAGGTTGGTTTGTCTGGTTTATCTACTGAGAATTTTCATAGCACGTGCCACGCAGAGTGTGTTGCTCATCAGACACATTTATTTGATTGTAACAGATTCTGCTTTCCTGGCAAGAGAGAAGGCAAGAGCAGATGCAGAATATTACACTGCTGCAAAATTTGCAGAAGCCAACAGGGTAAAAAAAACAACAACATGAAACAACTTTTTTTAATTTTCACATTTTTGTGTTGCTAATGTATTTTTTTTTTTAACCATTTAATTTTAAGAAAATATAAAATATTGGTGTAAGACTCAATACTCAACATTCAATACTTTATTGATGTAACTTTTTAGAGAAATCCTTGGAAGAGCCAGTTTTTAGTTTTTAAATAAATTAAAAAATGTTATTTGGTGCATTTAAAAAATGTTAAACCAACAGGTTTAAAGGAATAGTTCACCCAAAAATGAAATTTGGCTGAAAATGTACTCGGCCTCAGGCCATCTAAGATTTAGATGAGTTTGTTTCTTCATCAGAACAGATTTGGAGAAATTTAGCATGACATCACCAGCTCATCATTGCATCCTCTGCAGTGAATGGGTGCCGTCAGAATGAGAGTCCAAATAGCTGATATAAACATCACAATAATCCACAAGTAACTCACACCACTCCAGTCCATCAGTTAATGTCTTGTGAAGTGAAAAGCTATGTGTTAGTAATAAACAAATTCATCATTAAGATGTTTTTAACTTCAAACTGTTGCTTCTAGCTAAAATAATGCTAAATTCCCCCAAATCTGTTTTAATGAAAACCTACATCTTACCTACATCTTGGATGGTCTGAGGGAAATTACATTTTCAGCAAAATGTAATTTAGCATTTTTGGCTGAACTATTCCTAAATCACAGACTGGTTTAAAGGGATAGTTCACATTCAGTTGCTGGTCCGCATTGACTTGCATAGTGTTTTTTTCCCCCTATACTATGGAAGTCAGTTGGGACCAGCAACTGAAGGTAAACTATCCCTTTAACAGTAAGTTTGTTAACTTTTAGTGCATATCTGTACAATCTATTCTGTACAAAAACACACAATAAAGTAGATTTTGTGTGAAATATTTTCACACTTTTCAGCTTACCCAAAGCTTAAATATCCTTTAACCTCAACTATATTAAGTAAGTGCCTGTAGGAGGCTCTAGCTGTTGTCATAGTGGTACTAGTGTCCACTCTGAACACATGGAGGCACACTGACACATTTCTTCAGCAGAGATGATTCCACATCGGATGTGCTCATGTCATTTATCACACCACTGTCTCCCTCCTCCACAGCTGAAGCTCACACCAGAGTATCTGGAACTGATTAAATATCAGGCCATAGCCGCGAACAGCAAGATCTACTTCGGTCAAGACATCCCAAACATGTTTGTAGACAACAGTGCCTCCCAACCGACCGCGGGCCAGGGTGCGGCAGACTCGGCAGAGCAGCTGGAGGCCTTGAGTATGAAAGAGAGTCTTAAGAAAGCGTCCAAGCCCAAAGCCACAGAAGGCCACTGAGGGGCCTGAGAGCTGTCCACCCCTCTCTTTCTCTGTTTTCTCTTTCTCTCTCTTTCTCTGGGTGCTTGTGAGGCATGCTGACATGGATAATTTTCACTCTTCTTCTGCAGTGGGGTTGGGTGCTTGGCTAACTGTGCTGCGAGACTGACACACAGAGCCTGTGGTTTTCCAGCAGTCACTTGTGGACTAAAAAGGAATGTCCAGGAACTGTGCTACTGAATATTGCCAGGTCGAATTGATGCGATCCAAATCCCCTCCCTGACTCACATCAGCGTGCTTTTTCCCCTTTTTTTGCTCTCAACTTTTGCTTATGTTTCACAAATCCATGCTAATTATTTGTCAGATGCAGATGCATCTATGTGAAGTATGTGAACATTTCAAGGTTTAACTTTATGTGTTGTCTTTTACATAACTGGAATTATAAGGCATCACACTAATTGAGATCAAAGGCAATGGCCGATACAGCTACAATCCGATAAAACTCATTTTGTAGCCAAAATTTGTCATCTACATTTCCTTCATATGTTGTTGAAGGGGTACTTCACCCTAAAGTTTAAATTCTGTCATTATTTATTCACCCTCATGTCATTCCAAACCTCTATGGCTATCTTTCTTCTGTGGAATATATTTAAAAAAACGTATTTTTAAAAAAGACTCATAAAATAAGTCAATGGGATCCAGTGTTGTACTTCCCTTGGACCCCATTAATTTTCAATATATGGACAAAAACGTTATTGTTCTACTGAAGAAAGAGAGTCATGCAGGTTTGGAACAACGTGAGGGTAAGTATCTGATGACAGAATTTTCATTTTTAGGTAAACCATCCCTGTAGAAAAGTCCTCATTTCCATCATCACTAACTTTATTATAATCACTAAAATCTTAATTTAGTCCAGCCACAACTGCAGAGATCAGTGGCTTTTACATGTGTATGTAAGAATCAGTTTGTTTTAAAATCATCCCTGCTTGTTTCTTGTTGATCTTTGGTTGAGAATTTTGACACCTGAATACTTTGGTGTGAATTTAATTTAATATAATGTCAGAAATAGTGGGTTTGGTATGGTGTTGTCGTGTAGTGTGTTGGTGCCCTGTGCCTGTTTTTGAATTGTTGGTTCTTAGAAGGTGTCACACTGAACATGGGTATGTGGCTTTCATAAAGTTTCATAAGATGTTAAAGGTTTGATCCAGGGCTCCAGCCTTTGAAAAGCTTTGAGATGGACAGCTAATGGATTCTATATAGTTGAGTCTGTTCCTTTATGACTGAAACTGCCTTTATGACTTTAGTTAAACTTGCTTGTTTTGTCATTACTGGAAGGAGTTTATTTCAAAGGGAATTCAGTAACAATAAGGGCTGCTGTATTATTAGGCACTATTGTTTTTTTTTAGCTTTGATGGGTGAATGCATTAATGATCAGACATTCTAACAACATATTATTGCATGCTGGGTGCCAGATGATCATTTTCTGAAGCCTCAAAAACTTAATCAAATTCACCACTAGGGGAAGCCGGTGCTCTTCAAGAATCAAACTGGGCAACAAAGACCTACGTGACTCAAAATCATCTAAATCAATAATAATAATAATGCATTAAATCAAACCATCCAAACAAGGCTTTAAATAGTGTCTACTAGTACTATCTCTCAGGAAAAGAGACTTGAATGACCTGGATTTTTTTTTTGTACCCTACATCAAACATATATAAATTTTAAAAGTCAGATACAAGGTCATGTTGTCTGTGTAAATCTATCACACAGCACATAGTCTTACATCCTCTACATACTTTTCCATTAAAGAGACGAGCATTAATTTAATGCAGTTAGTCTGGCTTCTCCTATTCCCCCTTAAAATGGACTTTTATTGTTTTCCTTCAGGGTGTAAGTTTAATTGTCTCAAAAGCTTTGAAGCAATTCTTAAAAAAGATTTTTCTGTTCATATGATCCCTGTGATTCTTATTGCTGATTAAATGAGAGAGGACAGAACTTGACTGCCCTGGAATAAACTCACTCTGTGAATGTCACTTTTTTTATGTCAGCATAATTTAAGCTCCTAATTTTAAAACATTTATACGCAAAATTTATAACATTTTGACAATGTTCAGTTCTGTGAAATAAAACCTATTTTGATACCATGAAAATGACAGTTTTCTTGGTGTTGCAGTTGTGTGATCATACATTAAGGAAGTGTACATCATGTCCTATTAAGGAAGTTTCACAAAGGTTAGTGTCATAGATTGCGTCATGAATTAAATGTGCTTAGTTTAATATGAGTTGGATATATTTCCCAGAAATGAGGAATAGGAACTAGATCTTACGCATGTAAGAACTATATTTTAAAATCTAAAGCATAAGTGCATGCAAAGCTTGCCACCATGGGTATTCAAGGTGCCACTCTTATTCTAATATTCAGATCTTCAGATGTGACTTTGGTTGCTCCTGAAATGTATGTTTATGGGATTTTCACCTGTTTTTAAAGCAGAATGATATATGATTACATGCTAAAATTTAATAGGAGATGATTTGATGTATAGAGTATAGAATGTGTTTAAATCTCTAACCTGATGACAAAGAGAAAAAAGGTCCATGTTGACATTAAAAACGAGCATTTGTTACTCTTGTATTCAATCTTACATTGACTGTTTTGGGAATAATCTGATAGCCAGTTATTCTCCAAAAATAACTGAACAATGCCAACAAGCAGTTATGACCCATATAGTCCTGTTTGCTTTGCAAATAAACTCAGAGTGTCTCAGTCAGTGGTATTTGTCCAAGTCCAGGAAATGTCAAAAACTCTCATCGCCAAGTAACAAATTAACCTGCTTCGACTTTTTGATGCAGGACTCAGACTTTCTAACAGTACATGAGTGGAAGAAGGACAAAGGAAGGAAACAGTCACTCCAGGAAGTGGGCAAAAAGGTCTATGTCTCCAGCTGACCTTAAAGAGAGAACAGAAGCTTGAGCTCCCCCAGAAACTCCTGGGTAAATATCAACCATTCAGATCTGGTCACCAGACTGAGTCAATCCCCAGACACAGAGTACATTTCCTGTTCCTGACAGTGAATTTAGCATTAAGACTTCTAGATTGGATAAAAGGCATGCTGTTTCTTCAATTAAAGTGTCTAATTTAGAACATGAGTCTGTATATTTTAGGTTAAAATGTGCTTGTGTGTCCAGGATGTACCACATATTTCCTTCTTCCACTACTCATCAATGATATATAGGAAGTGGCTCCACCAAAACTAAAGGCGGGAGGTGAAAGAGACCAACAATATTTTGGATTGTGGTAGATTTGTCAGGCCAACATGATTGCCGATTCCATTAAGTCTTATTTGATTTAAACATTGTTTACTCATGAAATTAACATTTTTATTAACTGAACAGAACTGACTCTATAAGTCACGTTAAACAAAGTTCACCGGGCAGCAAGATTTTAATGACTCCCAAATGACTTCTACAGGATACATCACTTACACAGTCTTACTCAGCACAGGGATGATGGCCAACTTTTCTTTCCATAGTTCACTGAAATGGAATGAAAATAAGCCACGTGCACTGTTAGATGAAATATCCACTAAACCCTTTTATTTATTTGTACTAGAAAAACTAGGCCATCAGCCTAGCAGGACACATACCAGTAGAACATTAGTTTTCTTCTGTTTTTGTAGAGCTGATGGCAAATGTGTGACCTGCCTACAACCATTGCAGGAAGGGCAGTGCCCAGGTTTTGTAGCTGTTTGGAAGGACTCTGGCGTAAGAGACTGTTCCCATGACAACTATGATGAGATTTATGAATTACTAGCAGCAGCCTGAACAATTGTGTTCTGTGTTCAGTCTGGCTCATCGCCCTGCTCCGTCCCCTGAAGCGCCGTTCTGCCGGAATTTACCAGAGAGTCATGGGGCAGCTTCTGTAAGGATGATAGATGATAAGCCTGGCTTCTCTCAACCAGCTCTGATTAGCACAATAATGCAGGCCAGTCTAAGGGGATTTCTACAAGCTCAACTCTGATTTTGTGACACATGACGTTGTGGTTTTAACAGAATAGATATAGCAAACTGTAGACAGCATGTGAATTGAAATAAATCTGACTGGTTATGAACATTTATTATGCATTATATACACACATATAGTACTATTCAAAATTTTGGGGTCAGTACTTTTTTTAAGGAATTAATACTTTTCTTTAGCAAGGATGCATTAAATTGAATTAAGATCACAGTAAAGACATTTATAATGTATATACAAGTTCTATTTTTATCTTTTCAACTTTCTATTCATCAAAAAATCCTAAAAGAAGTCTTAAAAATATTAAGCAGCACAACTGTTTCTAACACTGATAATAATAATAAATGTTTCTTTAGTGCCATATAAGCATATTAGAATGATCTAACTTCTTAAAAACTTTTATTTATGAAAACTTCCACCTCAGCAAAATCCATTATTTGGCTAAAACCATGAGAAAAGCAATACAAGCCCATTGCAGTTTTGTTACAGAGGCTGTATGAGTCAGCGATTCAGAAAATATAGCTAATATTAGAGAGATTTCTGAAGGATCATATGAGACTGAAGACTGGAATAATGACTGCTGCAAATTCAGCTTTGCCATTTCTTGCCAAAATCAGTTTTTACTTGTATCTGGCATTTGGCAATGTTAATGTGCATATGTGTGTGCTTCTCTTATCTTGCCAAGGGAAGGAACTGTTATCTTACTGCTTGCACAACCCTTTACTCATACTGACTCAGTGCAGGTCTGTTTTTAAGGGGTGAGATCTGAAAGCAATGCTTTGAGGTTTGTTTTACCCCTGGGTGTGTCACAGGGTTAACATCTCTCCCTGATATCACCTGTCTGAAATCTGAGTTTATCGCTCACTCCTTTTTTCACTCCAAGATTGTTCCCATGCTTGTCATCAGTTTCCTCCTGGACTAGTTCATTTCAACACTGGCACAATAATGAAACTTAAATTAGGCCATCTTCAATCCTGCAATGTCATGTCATCCTTTATTGTATCAGCCAGGATGCATCTCATTTAGACTAATAGATATTTACTGATGGATCATGTTTCTGATGACAGCAGACAGCTTGTTTACAGATCACACAGGTGAAAAGTTCAACAGAGAACACAGATTGTGTTATGTGAACATCTGCAGTTATATACAGCAAGGTTGCAAAGGAAACATCCATGCAAGTCAATCCCAAAGTATGTTTATGGATCTCTCTCATCTTCAGTGATCTCATGAAAAAAGAAGTGACTGTATGTTGGAAAACACAATAAACATGCCAATTACCTGTTATAAAAATACAGAACGTTTTCTTAAATGTTTTTCATTCAGTTTGATTACCATGTGGTTTTCATTGCATTACAAACTCCTCCCTCATTAATCTTCCAAGAGTCATTTAAACAACATAAAAGAAAGAAAGGCTTCAGACAGTCATGTCTTGGTCTGAACAGAAACAGATGTACTGGGATAGTAATCAAGGCTATCCCATACAGCTGAACTCTTTCAAACAAATATTGTTTTTTCTTCACTGGAACTGAACCATCACATTTTTATGAATTTACTATGCAGTGTCATGCCTTGAGTTTTGTTTGTTTTTACTGTGTGCAAAACAAAACAACACTATTGTCATGATATTTTACACTTCTTTACTTGACTTGATGATCTCAACCTTCCAAATGTTGATAAATTGCCATAATGAACACTTAGGTTGAATGTCTCTGCAGTGCAAACCCAAACAGCACAGCGGTGAAGACTTTCAGTTTGAGGTTTACAGGCCTACTATTATCCATTGCTCTTAAAGGAATATTCTGGGTTCAGTGCAAGTTAAGCTGAATCAGCAGCATTTATGGCATAATTTTGATAACCACAAAAAATAATTTTTGATTTTTTCCTCATTTTCTTTAAAAAAGATCCAGGCCTCATTGAGGCACTTACTATCAGTGTTGGGGGTAACGCTTTACAAGTAACATGAGTTGCGTAATCAGATTACTTTTTTAATGCATTACTTTTGAATTTACAAGAACATATATGAGTTACTTTTAAATAATACTTTAAATAAGTAACGCCAGTTACTTTGTTTTCCCATGAAGTGACTAACAGCTCTTCTGTACCCATGTTGAGAGAAATTGCGAGTAAGTGCAGAGGCGTTGTGTGCGCTGTGTAAACATGATGGTAACTGTAAATCTAGACTAAATATGAACATGCATTTACTCAACTCACCTGCACAAAAAGTTTCAGTATTCCTCAAAATGAAAAAAAGTGAAATACAAACTCAGAATATGATGCAAACCTGCAATAATTGAATGTTAAATAATACAAATCTAAAAGGTTTGTTTGAGCTGTGCCCTCTACTGTACAGATGCAAATTTACATTTCCTTCAGCCTGAGGCTTATTCATTTCACTTTTGGTGTGAAAGGGCTTATACAATTGCCAAAAATAGAACTTTTTTATGTTAAAGGGGTCATATGATGCAATTTCAAATTTTCCTTTGTCTTTGGAGTGTTACAAGCTGTTCGTGCATAGATAAGATCCCTAAAGTTGCAAAGACTAAAGTCTCAAACCCAAAGAGATATTCTTTATAAAAGTTAAGACTTGTCCACGCCCTCCTAAAACGCCTCGTTTAAACACGCCCCCTCATGTCTACAGGTGCATCTCAATTAATTAGAATGTCGTGGAAAAGTTAATTTATTTCAGTAATTCAACTCAAATTGTGAAA